AGTTACATCAGGGGGAAGAGCTTTTTCATACAACGCCCACTAGCTTTGGAATAACCTACCAGTCAGTGTTTGGGACTCAGACACAGCCTCCATCTTTAAGTCTAGGCTAAAAACGTACCTGTTTAGTCGAGCCTTTGGTTAATTCGTTTTCCCGTTAGAAAAAGGCGCAGATCTGGGACAGAGAGTCCTATGATAATCTGGGAATGTTGGTGCTGAACTAACTATCTGTCCCCCTCATCTGTCCCTCCACCCTCTTTAAGTTATTTTTTAAATTAAGGCAATCAATCAAGCATCTCTGAAGCACCCTGTCTCTTTTCACAAGCAAGCAAATAAGAGATCACTTACACATGCTGAGTGTCAGAACTAAGTGTTGCAGGTCTATTTGTCAGTTGTATGTCTTGCTTTGATCTAGACCAGCTTGTCAGGTTTGTTTTCCCATACACACTCACGTGAAAATTTCTTAGGTCCTCTTAGCAACACTTTTTTGGCATTTTATCTTGTCAATATGTTCCCCTTAAATTGCAACAGGCATCTAAGCTGGACTAGGGCCTGTCATGACCCAAATCATGCCCAAGAACACTTGGACACAATGCAGACTGTTGCCCAATAGATGTTTTGGTCAAACAGCTTCCCATACGTACTTCCCGACCACTAGACCATATGGGACTCACACCCTGCCTTCCTGGGCAATTTTCATCCAGTTCATCATTGTCATTTTTGGTTTGAAGTGCACTTAAAACATCAAAAAAGTTACATTTCTTAGAGGGTCAGTCAAGACAAAATGAAGATTTATATCATTTTGTCAATGTTTTGCTGCTGGAAGAAAGTCTCAAAGAAACAAAGATGGCGGAGTCCAAGTCAAGTATTCCCCAGGGTACATACGTCAAGAACATGCAGCGATAGCCAGGAGTCTACCCAAGAATTCTCTGATTTGAAGACGCTTTCTGTTGTGCCAGTGGCCCACCCATACTCTTCCTCCGAGGGGCGTTTGGGACGATCAAGCCTCGTATCTGCCGCACACCAGAGGGCTGATGAGGTACCAAAGCCAGCCTATGTTTATTTTTTTAAATGAAAGACTGTGTGCATTTAAAATCTTATTGGGAAGATTAACATCTAATTAGAACTTGTATGCTGGACAATAATCTGGGTCGCCCGAAGGTGGAACAGCAGTGGCAAACAGTCAGCGGGGTTCCAACCTTATCAAACCAGTGGGCAGATATATGCTTACTATCTGGGTAGCTGACTCAGTACAGTAACGCTGCAGGTGCAGCTTGCTCTGCACTCCTCGTCGTAACTGTGTCAAACCTGACCTCTGTCTTAGGACTGCAGCTGTGTTTTGAGCATCTCGTCATTTTTCAAAACCATGGCATTTACATTTTCATATCTCCAAATCAGGTTAATACTTTCATTGTCAAAAATATGGAGTAATAAGCCTGCCTCTGTGAGTTTCAGACTGATGAAGACTTTGGTATAGATTGGGCAGGGCCACATAATCCCCACCCAGAAGGTTGATGTGCAGCTACCTCATCTGTTGAGGCCTGTGATATAGTGTTAAACAAAGAGTGTAAGTAGTCACTTTTGAGACTATATTCCACAAAAACACCTTTAAAACACAGTCAGACCATCAACTTGAACAAACCTAGAACACCATCAGAACATCAATAAGAGCACCATCAGAACATCAATAAGAACACCATCAGAACACCATTAGAACATATTGAGAACATCAGAACATAAATCATATCACCAGAAGATGATTAGATCACAATTGAAACAAAATCTGAACACCATTAGAACACCATCAGAACACCACTTGAACACCATCAAAACACCACTAGAACATCATTACATCTCCATCAGAACAAAATAAGAACACCTTTAGAACACCACCACAACACCATTAGAATACGATCAAAGCATCATTAGAGCACCATAAGAACACTACCTCAAAACTATTAAAACATGAGACCATTAATCAGAATGTTGCCAGAAAACCATTAGAACAATGTAAGAACATCAATCAGAACACCTCCAGAACACCATTAGAACACGACCAGAGCACCATGAGGATAGAGCCACGACACCATTAGAACAGCATCAGAATATCATTAGAACGCCATCACATCATTAGTAAACCATCAAAACACCATTAGAGCACCAGAAGAACGCTGTAAGAAAATCACAACAATATCTTTAGAACACCATCAGAACACCTTTAGAACATCAATCAGAACACCACTAGAACACCATTACATCACCATAAATACAAAATAAGAAGACCGTTTGAGCACTTTCACAACACTATTAGAACACCAATCAGAACACCCCAGGATACTGTCAGTATATCAATACGAACGCCACCAGAAAACCGTCAGTATATCAGAACATCCCTAGAACATCAATCAGAACACCATTACAAACACCATCAGCACACCACCGGGAACACCATTAGAACATGGTCAGAGCTCCACCAGAATACCATTAGAACACCATCAGAACATCATTAGAACACCGTCAGATCATAACCAATACCTCCATCAGATCACCATAAGAACACCACCAGTACATCAAACCACCAACAGAACACTGCCAGAGCATCTATCCAAACAACCTCAAAACGACATTAAAACACCACCAGAACATCATTAGACCACCATGAGAACACCAGTAAAGCACCATTCGATTATTAGAACCCCATTAGAACACCATCAATCAGAACACTGTTGGTGGTGTTCTTTAGAACACTATCAGAACATGATCACAACACTGTCAAAACACCACCAGCACACTGTTAGAATACCATTAAAATATGACCACCTCCCCAGAACACTTTTAGAACACCATAAGAACACCATTAGATCACACCAGAACATATTAGAAAACCACCAGAACACCATTAGAGCCCTATCAGAATATCATTAGATCACAATCCAGACGCCATCAGAAAACAATTAGAATAACACCAGATTACAAATACAGTACCATTAGAACACAATTAGGACACCACCAGAATGTCAATCAGAATACCTTCAGAACACTATTAGACCACTTCGACACCACCAGAACACCAAAAGTACACCAATCAAAAGACCTTTATACACCAAACCGTTAGAACATCAGAACACGATGAGAACACCTGGGGAACAGCTTTTGAACACCATTAGAACACTGCCAGAACATCAATCTGGTCTGTAGTGATCGACTCTGTAGAAAGTCGGCGACCTCTGCGCACTATGCACCTCAGAATTCACTGATCCCACTCTGTCATTTTACGTGGCCGACCACTCTGTAGCTGAGTTGCTGTCATTCCCAATCGCTTCCACTTTGTTATAATACCACTGACAGTTGACTGTGAACACACTCCTAAACCTTGTGGAAAGCCTTCCCAGAACAGTTGAAGCACTTATAGCTGCAAAGGTAGGGCCGACATCATATTAAACCCTATGGATTAAGAATGGGATGTCACTCAAGTTCATATGCATGTGAAGGCAGACGAGCGAATACGCTTGGCAATATAGTGTATCTATTGACGTCCCTGCTCATAAGCTAAAGCAGGATAAAGCTTTTCTAGCGTTGAAAACATTTACCACAGCCTGAGATAAAATAATTAGACATCACATACACAAAGGATAGCTTCAATAAAGGGTTTATTTATTTATTAACTAGTAAATAATGTATTACAAAGTAAATATGCATTAAATTACGGATTTTGACTGATATACATACAGGAGTCAGATACATGAAATTTATCTGAGAGATACTCTAATTCAGTTTACTAAAACATTCTAGCGACCTTTTGCTGGCCCTTTGAAGCTTATGAAGTCCAGAGGATCATGGGAGGCATGGGCCCTCCAAAAATAGGGGTTAAGTGTTAAAACATTGTTAAAACGCCATTATCTAGTAGTACTGTCTAAAAGGTATGTGTATGTGTTACTTGTGTTATCCTGTGTTGGGAAGTGAGGTTATTGCGTGGGCGTTTTGTGTTGCGAGCTGGTCATTGTAAAGGTGAAGTGTATGGCTGGGGACTTCCCCAGTAATTTTGTGCTTATGTAAGTGTCTTTTCTTCTGTATCAATTAAAAGAATTTCATGCAGCAGAATCATGGCCTACACATAGGGGTTACCTATATGCTACTGTATGCAAGCCACTCCTTTTGGGGCAGAGACAGGGGTTTGATAGGTTTTAGCATATGAGGTTAATGAATAAGCCATTTGAAATTCATAAGGGACACATAGCTTTTAATTCACCATCAATCCACTGAATATAATTATTTTCCTTTGGTCCTGAATCTACTCAGCATAAACATAATACATGGAAAGCCATTCTGATACACTATCTGACAATCATATTACTACAGTCTATATCATTTCTTATGCAAATACATTTCATTTACATTAACAAATACACCTTTCAAAAGAAAAGAATTATTAAGATTACACTATTAATGCTGGAAGAAAACAAATACAGTAGTTTTGAGGGACAGAACTGCCTCCTCCTCTTGACTAATAGAAAACGATTATTGTAGACTTAAAAAGTGGAAAGACAGAAAAATAAAGAAAAAAAATAAAACCATGCATTTCAACATTATAACTAGCTCTTCGTTAAGCTTATGGCAATTTCTGATTGAGAGTAACAATTATGACAAATGACACAGAAAACTCTTTGTAGAATAATTGATATTTAACCAAAACACAAGTCGTCTGAAAGTCTGAGATTCAGTTCTGAATTCAGTCACTGGATGGCACTGTGGACACAAGTCTCTTATAAAAACCATTTCTCAGCTTGGGCATGATTCTTGAACTTGTCATCATAAAGGGTTCTTGTGTTTAGAGGTAGTTCTGAGTAAATATTAATTTGAGAGATTAATTTCCTGCAGACTTTAACTCTTGAGAGATGCTATGGTAATGGTGTTATGTGTTATGATTATTGGTCATTACTGGCCATTTCCAAAACTGCCCTTAGTGCACTTGTGGGTCCTAACAGTGTTAAAATGTTTGAAACTCTGTCCCACACTCTGAGCAGTGATACGGTTTCTCTCCTGTGTGGACGCGCTGGTGTCTTTTGAGACTACTCTGTTCAGAAAAACACTTCCCACACTCTGAGCAGTGATATGGTTTCTCTCCGGTGTGAATGCACTGGTGTATTTGGAGACTACTCTGTTTAGAAAAACTCTTCCCACACTCTGAGCAGTGATACGGTTTCTCTCCTGTGTGGACGCGCTGGTGTGTTTTGAGATGACTCTGTGCAGTAAAACTCTGTCCACACTCTGAGCAGTGATACGGTTTCTCTCCGGTGTGGATGCGCTGGTGTATTTGGAGACTACCCTGTGTAGTAAAATTCTTCCCACACTCTGAGCAGTAATGCGGTTTCTCTCCTGTGTGAATGTGCTGGTGCTTTTTGAGAGTACCCTGTTCAGTAAAACTCTGTCCACACTTTGTGCAGTGATATAATTTCTCTCCTGTGTGGATGTGCTGGTGTACTTTGAGATTACTCTGTGTAGTAAAACTCTTCCCACACTCTGAGCAGTAGTGATTTTTCTCCTTGCTGTGTTTCTGTGCTTGTCTGCTAGATGTCTTCATGTGGAGGGTACCAGATGAAGCCCCCTGAGTCCTGGAACGTCTCTGGATGCCATATTATTATATATATCACTAGTTACAGCAGCTTAACTTTCCTCTTGGTGGAATGTCCTGCTGTGTTTACAGAAACACATTTAAGATGAGTAGGAAAGTGCAGGAGAAGACTTTATACTGGGCATCTTTATTTCTGTAAGAAAAAAAAATATATAAGCTCAATGTGAAATGAAACAAAACTAGTCTAATACAAATCAAGAATTCCATCAAATGGCAAGTGTAAAGAAAGAATTAACATCCATCAGATGAGGAAAAGCCAATAACCTAATTACTCAATTTCCTTCCCTACACATTATAAACCACTGATGTCATGTTGAAAAGCAGTGTGTCATGTTGCTATACCAATACCAACACTAACAATAACTTAGCTAAATTGACTGTGATTATTCAAAAACCACCAGCATTTCATACTGTGGTCAACAACATTTGGCAGTTAAAAATAAATATGCGTAAATCTATAGTCTCTGGTGATTTGTAGAGTTCTGTCTGCGGTTTTGTGATCCCTGACTTGAACTTGCGGCCTGAATCATAACGGTAGCAATTAGCAGTGTTTTCAGCAGTACTTCGCAATCTGCTCCCCATACCAGCCGTCATTTAAATTATTGTGTAATAATGGACTATAATATTAACATCCCTAAAGAGAACATAGAAACCATTAAGAATTTCTGTTGGTTCTTGGGGGTTTGTAATGCGTTTTAGCTTTTCTTGATGGGTTGATAATGTAAAGGAATGGTTTACCAGGTGACCTAGTGACTGATTCCAGATACATTTCTTATTCTACTTGGAAACTAGTGGTCTCTAATGGTAACCATTAGAAAAAACATTTTTTAATCCTGATGGTCTTTATTCAGCAGGGGTTACCATGCTGCAGCCAGCTTACACAGAATAATTCTGGCAAGGTTGAGTATTGCTGACTATCAAGCAACCATGTGCTTATTTTCCAAGTTTTAAGGTTGTAGTAAAATGTTAATGTAACAGTAAACTTACCGACATCATAATCTATAATAAAAGCGCTCGCAAAGTGTTTTAGGGCCACTAATATAAATAAAGATAGTAGACTTTAGAATAAAATCGTAATATTTCGAGACAAAAGTCACATTTTTAGAATAAAATCATAATATTTTGAGAAGAAAGTCATAATATTTCGATGATAATATATTACGATAATAATTACAACATTAAAGTGGGATACTACCAGAAAAGGTAGCAGTATGGTGGCCAAAGGCTTTGCAAAGGGAAGGCACCACTTCATGTTAAATGAGGGGCGTTGAGTTAGTGGGGTTATACTTTGATATTGATTCGCCCATAAAGAAACACTCAATCTCCCTGTCTCTCCTGCACATCAGCAGTGAAGAGTTTATCCAGTTCTTTAACACACTTAAGAAATGTTATTCCTTGTGAGTTTGTAAGGAAACCCAGAGCACTCACTGAACTGGACTGATGGAAAGCCATTGAATATAGAGAGTTTCTGCTGTACACAGACCTGTTATTCTGCTTCCCATCTTGGACACTACCATGTACAATAACTTCCTGCTGTTCTTGACAGTTTTAGTAAAGCAGCCTTGTGCCAAAAGTGTAATGATCGTGACTGCTGAGCTGTTTTGTACAAGAGAGCTTTACAGAACGTTTGGCTGAAGATGTGCAGATTCATGATCCTCTTGATTCAGTCTCTGCATTTCTTGATTAAAACTATGCAAAAGATCTGAAAAATATGATCAGAAAAGCAGAGCTCAAGCTGTTCATCTATCAGAGCAAACATCTGCTCCATGTCACTTTTTGTGGACTTTGTGTAAAAAGTCCTTAAAAGAGGACATTTCACTGAACTAAAGCCAGAAAAAAAGACAATTTCAGGAAATTCATCTAGCCGAATTCTGCCTAAAGCTGAAAGATGGTGACAGTTCCTTCTGCACAGGAGATCAAAACTCTTTAGCTGGAAACTCTGAACAGTCAGATATCAGAACGTACATTATATACCACAGATTCAGTGACAGGATTCAACCATTTTAACGCATACAGAGTGTAAGATCTTTCCTGTTTACTGTACAAGGTTAAAGTGGACAAATTGAAAATAAAGTCCGTTTTGCTTCCATTCAGAAATGTACATATTTCATACTGCATGTGATTACAGTTTGACCAAAACAAGCCCCCAGATTGTCTACCTTCTTGGTAAAAGTTACTTTCTGTAATTTTTCTTTGTCTTGTTCTAGTACAGAGCTTATTTAGAGCATTCTTTATTATTCACTGTTTTATTGTTTTTACAGTTGCCATTTATTAAATTTTTTTTGTACTTTTTTTAAAAAACATCTTATGTACATATTTCAGAAAATGTACAGACTAGTGGAGTTTGAAAAAAATAAAATCTACAAATATTGTAACAGAAAAAAAGAGTGACTTGGTCACCAAATTATAAGAAAGAGAAAATAATAAATCAGAATACTGAAAATTAAGACCAGGCTGGAGCTGACTGGTCCTGCCATGCTGCTCTAAATGGCCTACACTAAACATAAATGTACTCTTACCTGTTGTAATATAACTCATAACTAACAGTGATAATAATTAATAATTACCTTAATTTCATGTTAAATTCTTCAGCCACTTACGAAGATGCAAGAAAAGAGTTTACATTATGCTGCACTCCAGAGCTGCACTCTGAGCAGGAATGGGACTCAGTTTAAAAGAGAAAAAAGCCAAAGAGACACAGAAGTGTCAGAGATACAAAACTCATGAAATTAACTGAAACTCAAGGCTCATTATAACCTGTAAAAGCTGAAATGTTATAAAGTGTAAAAATGGTTCGCACATTAACTATTTCTGCTCAAATAAAGACTTTGAATGAACCGTTCTTTAAATCAAACTATTTATTTAAGTTCACAAAAACTAGTTCAATTAATTGTTATTCTGCAAAGTCGTTTTTAGGGTGAACTGTTCAATGTGTACATACCTATTAACATATCAGATTCCAGCTGGTTTTACCAAAACCAAACATTCCAGCTGGTGGCAAGAACAGCTGTACAACCTCCACATTCCAAAGATGGAACAATTATTTGATCTACGTAACGATGTTTAAATTAGGCTCAATCAGGTCTCCAGAGTGTTCTTCCAGCATATTAGCTAGAACTAGCAGAGAACATTGCGTAGTGCACTGTAAAAAAATCCAACTTGAAAAAATGTTAGGCAAATTTAAAAAATACAGTTGGCTCAACTTTCTCATGATGATTTAACTCACTTGAAGACCTGCGCTGTATCATGTCGATTTCCTGCATTCCTTAAACGGTCAGTCAGGTCAAACTGAAGACTTATATCATGTCCTTAGTGTTTTGCCACTGGAAGAAAGTCCACTTGAAGCAAAAGCACCAGAGTCCAAGTCAAGCACTGAAGTTCCCATGCATGTTCGAAGCATGACATTTGTGGAAAATAGCGGAATCTAAAGCATAAAAAAATGAAAGTAAGGACATGTACATCGCACTTACACGCCTAAATTAATCTCTGAAGATTATGTTTCTAGTTGCAAAGCGATAAATGGCTGTGGGCAATTGTGGGAACTAAAACAACGAAACATGTAAGCCAAGACATACACATCGCACTGCCACGCCTAGATTAATCTTTGAATATCATTCATTTTTTTTTTAAATTGCAAAGCGATCGACGGCTGTGGCCAATAGCGGGAACGAAAACAGAAACACATGTAAGCCAAGACGTATACATCTCACTACCACGCCTAAATAAATATGTGAAAAATTTTTAGTTGCAAAGGGTGCAACGGCTGTGGACAATAGTTGCATATACAACACAAATACCTGTAAGCCAAGACATATAAATCAAACTACCACAGCTAGTTTAATCTGTGAATATTTTTTTTGTTGCAAAGCGATCGATGGCTGTGGACAATAGCGAGAACTAAAACACCAAAACATGTAAGTCAAGACATATATATTGCACTACCATGCCTAAATTAATCTGTGAATATTATTATTATTTTTTTTATTGCAAAGCGATCGACGGCTGTGGACAACAGCGGAAAATAAAACACAAACACATGTAATCCACGACAAACACATTGCACTACCTCCTCTAAATTAATTTATGAATATTATTTTTTTAGTGCAAACCGATCGACGGCTATGGACAACAGCGGAAACTAAAATAGAAACACATATAAGCCAAGACATATACATCGCACTACCACACCTAAATTAATCTGTGAATATTATTATTTAGTGGCAAAGCGATCGATGGCAGTAGACAATCGTGGGTACCAGAACAGAAACACATGTAAGCCAAGACATATACATCGCACTGCCATGCCTAAATTAATCTGTGAATATTATTGTTTAGTTGCAAAGCGATTGACGGCTGTGGTCAATCGCGGAAACTAAAATAGAAACACATGTAAGTGTTACAGACCCCAGGCCTAGGGGAAACCCAGGGTATGGTACAAAGCCCGATTCCCTTAATAATAGAGAGAACGGACAAACGTTTTGGTGTGCAATCCTCTGGCGTTCAAATTTATTCATACAAAAATACGAAAGCAAATTAAATACTTGAATATGAATTCATATAAATCCTATTGATTAAATACTCACAAAAACAATAGAAAATGAAAAACGAAATAAAGACTACTAATTAACTAAATAACCCAATTAATCACTAATGGAATAGTAAATGAACAAACAACCAAACAATGTTCTCAATGAGATAAGCCTAAAGACAAATATCAATTTGAAATACCCAAACTCATGAATAGACAAAAAAAAGAGAACAAT